CATTGCATCGACGAGACAATATGTCGATTTGCTAGAATTACCCAATTAAAACAGCCCACTCAGCATTGCCTGTAAAAGTCCTGTAAAGCCTCCATATGTCTAGCATTGCTCGATTATATTGCCCACAGCGTGTGAACATCAAAGATCGATCAGGCACGGCACAGCGCCGCTTACCGCTGAATCCTAATGAGTGAATTACCGCCGTGCTAACACAAGTCATCAACGCATGCTCCAATTGGAGACGTCCAATTCAAACATTGTGTCCTAAAGCTAACCGGACAGGTCGTAACAATTGGGACGATGAGCCCCTGACCTTTATTTCACTCTCATCCAGCTACATTTTTACGCTCTCACGAAAGATGTGCACAAAAGATGCATCTACATCAACTGTCATTAGTCTATTACCTCCAAATTTGAGAACCATCATCAGCTATCCACACAAGCGTTTTGCATTAGAATAAAGGCATAAGGCTAGCCAAACTAACACTAGATGGCAAATTGCAAGATTTTACATTCCACCATCAATCAAAATTGCAACACATTTCAGTCAATCTGAATCTGGAAGTACAAAAAACCTAAGATACAGAAAATTATATCTTGCGAACAAGAAACTTAAGTCAAGAAAAAGCCCGGAGAAGCAGTCAAAATTTTCCTTCAGGAAAAACCCAGAGAAATGGCAGCAGCATAAATACGCCACGACAAGCGCAACTAGTGCTAGCTAAACCCTCACTGTACAGTTACAAAAATTCCCTACAGCCTCGTCTCCTCAAGTCTACTCACTTGTTCTTCTTCTGCTTGTGTTTTTGTGTCCTCTTGGCTGCGAGGGCACCCGAAGCGCTCTTCCCCTCAAACCTTTTCGCCATCTTCATGACACTGGCCATGCCCTTCCGGGCGGACTGCTTGCGATCCGACCTGCGGTTGAGCAGCTTACGATCCAAAGGCCAGTAAGCATACGGCTCCATCTTGTCTTTCTTCTTGAGATCACCACCGGCCTTCTTGCTGGTGTACTCATGGCCGGTGTAGGACCAGCCAGTGCTGGCCACCTTCCTCCTCTTCACCGACTGGCTTCTGACAGAGGTCTTGTCATCAGCCTCCTCCTCATGCGAGACGACGGGTTTCTTTTTACGCCATTCCCGTTCTTCGCGAATGATCATACGGCCTTCAGGGTCCATCTCAATCTCGTCGTCGTCGTCGTCATCAGGTGCAGCCCTCTTTTTTCCTGTCGATTTGAGAGCCAACCGCATTGTCTTCTGGTCAAGTAAATCTAGGGGTTCACCAGTCGAGTGATCAATGAACTTTTCCTGCAAGTTCTTATCTTGACGCTTTCGGTTCGACCTGGACGTGAATAAAAGAAAACACAAACAATTACGATTGTTTCAGCTTCTCAGGCAGCTTTTCAGCGCGGCAACTGTTTCAGCTTCTGAGGCAGCTCTGTAGCACGGCAATGTCATGGCACATACCGTGTTGAAGCTTTTGATCCATTATTACGAGAAGCTACAGTATGCTGCTTGGATAAGGGACCATTCGAGTCTTCATCGTTGCTTCCAAAATCAGAAAACATCTGTGTGTGATTCCATCCACTTTGCCTGAAGTCAAAACATGGATCAATCAGTTGAACACAAGATGTGGATACTTTGGATTTAAATTAGATTAAACAAAAATTGCTTTTGTCAAAGCTCATGACTTTCCAGAAAGAAAAACAGATGGCACTAAATTATGGCATTATCGTGCCAGTAATACCTTGTAGCTCCTGAGGCCATGGACATAGCCTCCCCATCTTCAGACGAATTGCCCTTCCTCATTTTACGCTCATTAATCTGGTAAACATTGCAAACAAATGGTAGAAGTAACAGGATAAGAGGGAGAAGTCATTATTTTCTTTTCTATGTGAAGCGTTTGTTGGAACTCCGCGGATTTGTATCACAACTGAACTTACCTTCCTGATATTGGTGAGCAATTTCATATGTTCTTCGGGCATTACAGCTTTTACTGCATCTAAACCACATTTTTTCACGAGAATGTCAACAAGTGACTTGACCTAATAATAAAACGAGTGGAGCTATTAGCAGGCTCAAAAACCTAATAATAAGAAGAGTGAAATTTACAAGCAAGCTCAAATAAAAGGATAAGAGTTCATTAATATGCAAAAATGTGCATTCATTTCCCAAACACTTGTCTTATCTTTCCTGACATAAAGTAGGACAACAGCAAAGACAGAGTAAAATACTAACATGCAGAAGTAGGCATTTATTGAAAAAAATTATTTATAGCACATTCCTAGTCAAAAATAAACAGCGCTTCATCACAAGCAATCAATCAATAGAACAATACCTTCGCTTTCAAAGAATTCTTCTTATCACTTTGCCAGCTCAACAAACCCTCAACGACTCCCTTCAAGTGCTCATGAAGCACATCAGCTTTAGATCTAGCCACCAATGCTTTGATAAAGCCTAAGTTGGCCTGGCCACGATATCAATGTTAGTTGAAGGAGCTTGAGATGAAATTATTGATTAGCTAAATTCATGAACTGGAGGTGTGTTATGACTTTACTTTGACAAGTTCTCGGTTGTTCCTCTGCATAAGGAGAAAAGTCGAGGGGAGGAGCTTGTAAGCTACTCCAATAAGATCTGAGAACTCATAGGTCAAGCGAGCTAACCCAGTCACAGCAGCACTAATCGCATGTGGAGTTTGACCAGCTAGACCACCAGCTACCTAAACATGAAAGCTGACAAAGTTAAACCAAACTATGTATCACATCTTGTTGTATAGAGGGAGAAAAGATCCCAATTATCAAGGGTTGACAACTGAGCACACCGGAAAATGCTAGGTTGCCAAATTGCAACATCATAGTGCTCAAGTGGTCGAATTCCCATAAAAAAACTGAAAGCAAAATGCATAATGACATTGAAGTACCATGTCAAAGAACTGGTGCAAGCTGTCCTTCCTCCCATCATTTTCAGCATCTTCACAAGCGTGGCCAATTGCAATAAGCACATCATAAGCTCTATCTCTGGTTTTCTTGTTAGCCTGTGAAGAAACATAAACGCATCACCATTAATCTCACATCTGACTTTCCTGTACCACATGAGTACATTCAGAAGTTGTCCTATCAGAAAAAATGAACATTGCTTCAGTAGCAAGAGTTAAGCGAAAGAAACATGCCATTCAACACTTGAGTACTTGATCAATGTATCAATGTAAGCAGTAAAGTCTAGAGTAAACAAATATCTGAACTCTACTCTGAACAGAAAAACTCACTTTGATCTATTTTTGTTTCAACAAAACAAAAGAACAGCCTTAGGTAATAACAGGAAGCCATATGTATTGTGTTTCAAAGGGAATAAGAAACAAAAATGACAAATTGGCAGCATGCTACTTGAGCATTATAGAAAGTTTCTTCCTGGCTACATTGATATTTGATAATGAAGTGCAATGTATAATACACTATTTCAGTTACCTCCTTCAAGGCAAGAAGTATTTCAGTGAGAAATGAACTAACAATTTCCCTCTTCCTAAGCTTCGATGGATCCTGCAGACAAGAAAGTGATGCACATTTGTTAATGCTCTCCCAGATAGAGATGTACATTTGTTCATAAACTGTGTTGATGTTTCTGGTTTACCAACCTTCAATATGTAAACAATAAGGTGATGCAAGCATTCAAGCCTGTACCGCTTCGATGGAAATTGGCATGGCAACGACGAAATCATCAATTCCAACAGGACATCTAAATTCCTCTCAATAAATTCAGCATCCTGAAATAGTCCAGCATACATAAAAAAGTTCAGAAGTTGTTTTTCTTGTTTTGTGCAATTGTTCACATAAATTTGTTAGAGAACGTGAGGAAGAGAGAATGACCGAACAGTTTTCTGTATTGAGGAGGAGAGAGAGATATACAAGGTTACATGGGCCTGGGCCTCACTCTAGACTATGGGCCTGGGCCTGTACAAGACAAACACAACATACCTCACTCTAGACTATGGGCCTGGGACTGTACAAGACAAACACAACATATATACTTAACACCCCCCCTTCAAACTTAAGGTGGGTCAGGAGCATCTGATACACCAAGTTTGAGAGTCTGAAACCTATGCTGATCTCTAGTTTGTGCCTTGGTGAAGAAATCTGCGACTTGAAGCTCTGATGGGACATATTGTAGCTTAACAGTGGATTGTTGACAATGAGATCGAGTGAAAAATGCATCCACACCAATGTGTTTGGTCAACTCATGCTTGACTGGGTCATTAGCAATCTGAATAGCAGCAGTGCTGTCACAAAGAAGAGGTGTTGGTGTATGACATAAGACACCAAGATCATCCAATAGCCAGCGAAGCCATACAATCTCTGCTGTAGTAGTAGAGAGAGCCCTAAGCTCTGCCTCGGCGCTGGAGCGAGACACGGCAGTTTGCTTCTTTGATTTCCATGCAATGAGAGATGTACCAAGAAATATGCAATAGCCAGTGACCGAGCGACGATCAATAGGATCACTCGCCCAAGTGGAATCAGAGTAAGCATGAAGCTGGAGCTGACTGGAATTAGCATAGAACAAGCGGCGAGATGTAGTTCCCCTTAAATACCTAAGGACTCGGAATAGGTGACCATGATGAACTGAGGTGGGAGCACAGACAAATTGACTGAGAATATGGACTGCATGTGCGATGTCAGGTCTGGTCACTGTGAGGTACACTAGACTGCCGACGATGTGACGGTAGCGAGAGGGATCCTCAAGAGGAGTGCCATCAGTAGGACGCAACTGCAGATGAAGCTCCATAGGTGTAGCAGCAATGCGCGTGTCAGTGAGACCTGAGCGAAGAATCAAATCCTGAGTGTACTTTTGCTGGGAGATATAGTAACCATCATCGGTGTGCTCAACCTCAATCCCGAGAAAATAGCTGAGAGACCCCAAATCTGACATCTTAAATTGCTCACTCAATTTTTTCTTAACAAAATCAATATACCCAACATCATCTCCAGTGATCAACATGTCATCTACATAAAGTAGAAGCAATGTACGGCCATGCTCAGATGTATGAATGAAGAGTGCAGGGTCATGTTCGCTAGGAGAAAAACCGGCAGCTTGAATCACAGAACTGAACCGCTCAAACCAGGCACGAGGGGCTTGCTTAAGCCCATAAAGAGCCTTTCGAAGACGACAAACATGACCTAATGGAACCTTGATACCTGGAGGTGGCTGCATATAAACCTCCTCATGTAAATCACCATGAAGGAAGGCATTCTTCACATCCATGTGGTAAATTTTCCATGACCGAGTAGCAGCCACAGCAATTAGAGTTCGAACTGAAGTCATGTGAGCAACAGGAGCAAACGTCTCATCATAATCTTTCCCATGAGACTGCTGAAAACCTCTTGCAACAAGGCGAGCCTTGTAGCGTTCCACAGAACCATTTGACTTGGTTTTAACCTTATACACCCATTTGCAAGTGATAGGGACTGAACGAGGAGGTAATGGTACCAAATCCCATGTACCAGTACGCTCTAAGGCTGCAAGCTCCTCAGACATAGCCAGTTGCCACTCAGGTGACACAACTGCCTCCTGATAGGTACTAGGCTCAGAAACAACCCCTGCATACAAGTCCTTCTTGTATCGCGTTGCTAGAGAAGAGCCGTCAGTGCAAGGATCAGTAGTACTGGCTGGAGGAGTAGAAGACAAAGGCATAGATGACTGCGTGTCACATGGAACTTTAGAACAACGAGTGTAATGGAAAGTACTGGCTGGAGGAGTAGAATAACGACGAGTGTAATGGAAAGGAAGACTATCTAGAGGTGGAGCTAGTGGAAGAGAGAAAGGAGCTGGTGAGGAAGGAGATGAAACATGTGGTGGATATGGTTCTGATGTTAGGACAGAGGAAGGTTGTTCAGCTATGGACTCATCTAAAAAGATAGGTGGAAGTGAAAGAAACGAGGTAGACTCTAAAGAAGTTGAGGATGATGTTTAGTGGAAGGGGAATAGAAGAAGGGTTGATCCTCAACAAAAGTGACATCACAAGAAAAGCGAATGCGGCGAGCAGAAGAATCATAGCAACGGTAGCCCTTATGTTCAAGACTATATCCAAGGAAGACACACTCAGCAGACTGAGCAGTCAACTTGGTACGCTCACGAGGTGCTAAAAGAACATAACAAGTACAACCAAAGACACGGAGGTGGTCATACGTGGGAGGAGAACCAAAAAAAACCTCACCAGGACACTTGCCCTCAAGGCGAGTAGAAGGTTGGAGATTGATAAGATAAACAGCAGTTGAGATAGCTTCACCCCAAAAATGAGTGGGGACAAAGGAAGAAAACAGAAGGGTACGAGCTGTCTCAACAATATGGCGATGCTTACGCTCAGCAACACCATTCTGAGCATGGGCACCAGGGCATGAAAGCTGAGGGAGAGTACCCTCAGATGAGAGAAACTCGCGAAAAGCAGTAGATAGATACTCCCCCCCGGAGTCAGAACAAAAAACACGAACATCACTGGAAAACTGAGTATGGACCATATGTACAAAAGCCTTATATATAGGAAACAACTCAGAACGATGCTTCATAAAATAGACCCAAGTATGTCGAGAGTGATCATCAACAAATATGACATAATGTTTGTGGCCACCTTTTGAAACAAAGGGGGAAGGACCCCATACATCAGAGTGCACTAAATCAAAAGGATGACTAGAATGAGTAGTGCTGGAAGAGTATGGAAGCTGTATTTGTTTCCCTAGCTTACAACCCTTACAGTGAAAACCAGCATCTATGGAAACATGACCCAAAACACCTTGTCGAACAAGGGTAGATAAACGAGAACCACACAAGTGACCTAAGCGATGGTGCCACTGGGCAAAAGAAAACGACGAAGTGGATCTTGATGTTGATGCAACCATCCGAAACGCGGATGTGGTGGAAGCTGAAGGAAGGTGTAAGGTGTCAAGGATGTAGAGGGATGTGGATCCTCTACGGCGATGGCCAGTTCCAATGACCCTCTTGCTCTGACGGTCCTGCACATAACAAAATGAGTCATCAAAACCAACAAAGTAGTTCATATCAGCAAGCTGGCCAACAGACATAAGATTCATGGACAGCTCTGGAGCAAAGGAGATGGCAGGAACAGAAAACTTGGATGTGCAAAGAGAACCCTGATGAGTAATAGAACAAGGTGTACCATCAGCAGTCTGAACAGAGGCACCATCCCGCACTGGCTGGCAAGACACAAGCTGAGAGCGATCAGAGGTCACATGGAAAGAAGCTCCAGAGTCCAGAACCCAAGGCTGGGTTGCAGCAACGGCGGGCTGAGAGAGAACAGATGCAGAAGCACCCCTCGCTTGCTGCTGATAAGGAGCCTGGGGTGCACGACGCTGCTGATTGAGGGCCCGTCTAGCCTGAAACTCAGCTAACAGCTCTGGATGAAGCTTGAAACAACCATCTCTATGGTGTCCTGCCTTCTTGCAGAACGAGCAGATGACAGCTGAAGGTGTGCCCTTGGAGGCACCTGGCCGCTGAGGAAAAGCCAGAACACTAGTGTGTAGAGTCTGCGCAGAAGTAGTCCCAAGAGAACGGAGACGAGTCTCCTCAGCGATCAAGCTAGCAAGTGCCTCTGTCAAGGTGGGAGGAGTCGTACGACCAAGCAATTGAGTCCGAATGTTCTCAAAGTCTGGCTTGAGACCCATCACAAACTGAAACATGAGTCTGATGGTCGTACTTTTCCTTCGCTGCACATGACTCACAACCAGAATTACCCTTTGGAACCATGGAACCTAGCTGCCCAGTGATGCGAGTGAAAGCTCCATAGTACTCTTCTATGGACATGTCTTCTGGCTGCCGAGTGTTGTGTAAATTCTGCAACAAGGAGAAATGAAGTGCACTGCTGGGCTGAAGGTAGCGCTGCTCAAAGTACTTCCATATCTCTTTAGCTGAAGTGTGATGCTCAAGACTCATTCGGAGTGAGGGTTCAACACCCAGAATTAAAACTCCCATCACACGATCATCGATCTTTTGCCAAGACTTCCTTGCTGCATCATCATTTGGACTAGGTGGATCATCTGTCAGATGAGAAACAAAACCAGCCGTCCTCAAGACAGTCCGGGCAGAAAATGCCCATTCCCTGTAGTTTGAACCATCAAGCTTGATATCTATGATCAAAGAACCAAATCCGAAATCATTTCTTGCCATAGTGGTGAGCGGCCAGCAGCTGGAAACACCCAATTTGATAGCAGCTGCAGGCAGCAACAAGAGATGAGCAGCAGACAGCCACAAACAGGAGCAGCAACCCACTAGGCTGGCTGCTGCTTGCTGGATCTCACTGGATAGAAGGAGGAGCTTGCTGGATCTTGCTATATAGGAGGGGGAACGCCTGGAGCTTGCTGTAGAGCAGGGAAGGCACCAAGAGCTTGCTGGAGATGGCTGCTGGAGAGCAGGGGAAGTATTCTCACAGAGTAGCTGTGAGGACACACAGAGGAACTGCTGGAGAGCAGCTCCTACAGGTTGATGACGAAGATGGGATGGGGCAGCGATGTGGATGTCTCCTCACCAGACAGATCCGCCTGAATCACCTCACCGGCGGCGATTTCATGGGTGGCGGCTGGAAGAGGGACTAGGGTTTGGTCCTGGTCTGATACCATGTTAGAGAACGTGAGGAAGAGAGAATGACCGAACAGTTTTCTCTATTGAGGAGGAGAGAGATATATACAAGGTTACATGGGCCTGGGCCTCACTCTAGACTATGGGCCTGGGCCTGTACAAGACAAACACAACATACCTCACTCTAGACTATGGGCCTGGGCCTGTACAAGACAAACACAACATATATACTTAACAAAATTAACTAACTGAAAACAAAAACAAACCTTAAGTAACATTGAGAGGACCTTGTATGCTCTCTTTTGATTCATTGAGTCGTTGTCCTAAAACCAGAAAAAAAAAAGGTACAAGCAATTTACATAGCATGTTGCTTAAATGGAGAAGACAAACATAAGTTACATTAAAACCATATATGTACCTTAATTGCAGGTTTTACATAACTGAATAGCACATTGATAGACTTTGCATCCAATCCAGGCATTAATGAAGCTGCAAATTCTAAAAGGAGGGCCCTGAAATTCAAATCGAGATTTGAAATCAACACTGGACTTCAATTGGAATCTAGGGTGCACAGATAAGAACCGAGAAAAAATTAAACTCCGTGAAACCTTGTCATGTTATTTGTATTGGAATTATCTTCAATCTGCATTGAACCGTCATTCAATTGCTGTGCATTAACAGCTTTTGTGGCATCCAGCAACTTTCTTATTGCATCAAGGAAGAACTTGCCCACAACATCTTTGTCTGATATGGATGCTATCTCACTTATCGCAGGCTACAGGTCCAACGAAGAGGGCAAAGCCATGTAAGTTACAGGCTTTCAAGCAATATAAATGAAATGCAGTCAATCAATGAAACAATGCAACATGAAATTTATAATAGAATGATGGAATTGCACTCCACAAAATAAGGAGACTTAGTTTAGCCTTGGTTCAATTTTGGTCGAAAAATATAATTGACCATTAGCAGTGATAGATTCAAATGATAATCTATCACCATATCTTACAGGAAATTTACACTTTAAAGACACAAGTTAAAAAGAAAAATCAAACAACTCCATGAAAAATTGCATAACCCACATGGATCAAGCCCCATAATAATCACAAAGAGTACAACAATCGGATCAAGCCCCCACAATAAGATGACAGAATGTCTATATTGCAAACAGCAATGGTATACCTGTAAGAATCCAATAGCGTCCTTTGAGGATGACATGAATATAGAACATAATATCTCCAAGAATTTTGAAGAGAAAGCACGTATTTCTTTCAAATTTTCCTCGGCTGACTCTTTAGTATAGCGTTCCTTTGCTCTTCTTTCAGATTTGCTTAATTCAGCATCAACAAGAATGTCCTCTTTGTTAGTGATTGACAAAGCTTCCTTGTTTTGTTTGATTAAAATCTAAAACGAACACAAGTCAGAAAGACACTTAAAATTAAATAGCAGTTCACTGTAACTTGAACAGAGGCGATGTGAAGCACCTGAATACTGGAACAAATGATGCCACGCAAGTCAGGCTGGTTTTGGAGAGTGTCACATAAAACATTTTGTAGAACTCTGAAGCTGCTTGAAGTATCACATGGATAGTTACAGCAAGATGGTAACAAAGACCAAAGTGAATACACATAACCCTCTGCTCTCTTGGCGGAGAAAAGCTTATCGTCTTTCAAAAGCTGGTCAATTGCAGATATTGGAAACATTATCAGGCTGTAGTTCAAAAATGAATGGCTTGATCCTTTTATTGTTAGAGCATAAAAAAGATCTTTATTTCCGGTATACCTTGGGAATACTCTTCTCTACAGCTCTAACGATGCCCAGAATATCTCTCAAGAAAAACTGTAAACTAGCACCAACAATGTGCCTTTCTAAAATAGGGAGAATCCATTCATTCTCAACAGATATTGACTGAATATGAAGAATATCAAGAACATTCTTTGGCCCCATTGCAGAAATTGCTGAACCAAGACATGCATTGAGCTGCAAAATAGAAGCATTTGAAGGTGAACCAGCAGATTATCTAATCATATAATATACCAAAAATAAATTCTAGTTGTATGGAGGGCATTCAAGTTTACAGGCTACAGCTTTAGATCAAAGTGCATGTGTGGTAGACAGAAATACCTGCTTCCGGAAAGAAAAGTCATCATCAGACATGTTCTGCATGTCTGCCAGGTTCTTAAGTGCTTCTGGCAATAGATCAGATGAAGATTTTCCTATTGTTTCCCATGAGAAATGAGTTCAGGAACTGAGACAGCTTGATATCAAGCAACTAACTAGCAGTAGTAAAAAAAAGTAATATTGTCCAATTTATCAGAAAACAATCAAAGTAGAGATGATTACATAGCAATGGCTGACAAGAAGCATGGTAAAAGATTAATTGCATCTCCATGACTAGATGAGACACCAAAAACTAGAAAGATCAATTGCGGTCCAATATTGGTAAGCTACTGAAAATAAAAACCAGATCTACAACCACCATTATCACAGAACTAATGCAGAGGCCAATTTTACGGTGAGTTTGTGGTTGCTATGTTATGTTGG